ATATAATTATTTATATTCTTATGTTTATATTCTTCTTAATATATTCTTATTATTTTAATATTCTTTATTTTTATTTATAAATGTATATATTTATCTTGTAGCATTTATAGTATTTTCCAAATTTTTTATGTGCCTGTCTGCACTGTATTCCCTATTTATTGTTTTGGATTTAATGTCAGTTGTTAAGTTAAATGTTGTCTTTTTAATAACTATGTTTTTACCTTTATTCTCAAAATATTATATTATCATTAATGCTTTTCTGTACCTTGTTTCTTAACAAGAACTTAGTAGCAACAGACAATTACTAGACAGTAATGTCCTTTGATGACAGGTGGATTTTTATCTTTAATTAGTGTAGCATGTCTGAATAGTAACTTTATGCTACATATTAAAGCTTTTTTCAGTTCAATTCAGTTAACAATGTGTTTTGGCTACTTAATTCATCTAGCATAAATTTTAATGTAACATCAGCTACACATAAATTAACATTAGTGTTTCAATGGCCAACTTTATAGGTTGCAGGACCGAGATTATATTAGATAGTAATTTCAGTTGTTTGTCATTAAAATCTATGTCTAATTTTAAATCTATCAGACTTTTTTGAATAGCATCATTAAGAAATGAAAATTGTTCTAGCATTCTTTATAGGATGTTCCATCAAGTCTTACAATCTAAAATTAAAGAAAATTCTTTACTTGTGGTCTCTTTCACATATTTCTGTAGGTCATCATCATTTTTTGTCGGGGATTTTCTAAAAAGTCTTCCTACTTTTTGTATTTTTGTTATTAAAAAATATAATTCTGAATTTTGTAAAACAGGTTTGGTATCAAATAAATCTTGGTGTTCTTCAAAAGTTTCTCCATAATTTTTGACATCGTCATTTTCCATATCTGAATTATCAGAATCAGTAGTAAGTAGTAAATTAGCATCATATTGATTTTCATACTGTTTGTTTATTGTGTTTATATTATATAGAACTTTTATAACTGTTAATTGTAGTCCATGTGTGAGGCATAACTGGTGATTTTTATT